CCTATGGGCCCCAGTGAGGTTCGGAATGGGAACCAAATCCCTAGACGTAGTCAGGAACTGCTAAGATTGGGACATTTCTGACTTTGACACAACACAAACTGCAGTCATTCAGAAAACTTTCAGGTAGAAATAAGGGAGAGACTATCAGGTTAGATCAAATGTCTGCTGCTTTGCTGCACTGTTGTTTTCATTATAACAAACACTTAGGTAAAGCAGATACCTGATTAACCTTCCAAACTATTGCCTGAAGTGTCTCCTTTTTAACTCTTTCCCTTTTCTATAAGGAGGACAACAATAATTTCTCTGATTTCTGGCCAGCTCCAAGACTTGGTTAATATCTGCATAAGGTTGTGGGTTTCTTGCACTGGACATACCAAATAAATAAAATACATGGTTCCTCCCCAGAAGGCATCTTCTCTGCCTGTGAAACCAGAGTTTTCTGTGAGGCTCAGGAGGCATACTATATTATATAGTTAAGAATACATGCAAATGAAGAGTCATGCTCTCCTAAACTTGCCAAGCCACATTATCTTCTGCTTCTGCACAGTCTGAGACCTAACTCAGATTTACACCCATTTTCCTTGCAGTTTTACAGAAAGTACCTGCACATTTCCCTTTAGCACTGCACAGAAACAGAGGGAGTGGTAGGTCTGCTACTGCTAAACAGCAGGTAAAAAGTTAGTGATTACTTCTAATGTGAAGTAATGTGAGTAAGAACATATGAGGGCTCTCCCCCACTCCTCATGGAAAAATTATAGTTAGATATTAAATAGAGTAACTTCTGCTATTTCTGTGTGCAGACTAGATTATAAGTAGCTCCAAGGGAATGTTCAGGAGAAGGGAGGCACATGGTTTCAACCACTTCATTTAGTGTCATTTGCACAAGGATGACTTGGTTGCCTCCAGAACCAGAAACAGCACAGCTGTGAGAAACGTAGCAGAGCATTTAGCCCAAGGGGAAGGCGGCTGTTTGGTTCAGCATTGAGCTATCCCAGTTCTGCCTCTTTCGGAGCCTGAACAGATAGAACCTCATGACCCTGTCCTGTATTGCAGTCATGCCAGCTCACCTGAAGCAAGAGATCTGAATCATGCAGATACGCTCCAGACTGTTCAAATTCCATCCCAAGCCTTGTTTTATTCATGGTTGACTTTTCACAGGTTCCAGCTCTGTCAGTATCTCAGGAGTCCCTTCCCCAGTATCCAACTCTTCCCAGACTTCAGAAGAGGAGCCTGAAGGTCTCATTTAGGGCTGAGAATCACCTCAGACTGGCAAGTGTGTAAGGCTGCAATTCCTGAAGTACACATGAAGATATAGCTGGTGATATTCACAGTCATGTTACCACATCCCATTCCTCAGTTTTTCATCAAGCTCAGGATGTACACAAACGTCAGCTCCTCTGGAAATCCAAATGTGTAATGAGCTAGGACATGGCCTTAACAAATAGGTAAAAATAGCATCTTTAGCACAGATGTCTCCACGGTAAAGACAGCTTCTTGTATTCTTTTAGTTATTACTCCCAATTTCTGACAGCAAGTATGTTTGGTCACACTGTAGGTAAGAAAGAACCACTCCATTGTAACCACTCCACAAGTAACTATTTTAGAAAGACAATTTGACCATGTATTGACAGACAGGGTGTAGGCTGGGAATAATGTCTTTTCAAAAACTTGCCTGGAGAAAGCAGCAATTCTACTTGGCCAATGAACTGAAGTTCCAGTAGGAACGGAGTGTTTCTATTTCTGATGTCTTTGAGAAATTCCAGTAACTAGTACTGTTAAAGCATTGAGAATTGCACAGGCAGTAGAGCTGATGCATAGTCATGGCACATGTTTCAAAATTATAATGAGGCTTTTATGACTTGAAAAGAGATTTTTACAAGGAAACTGAAAATATCCACCCAAACCAGTTTTAGAAGTTACTTTCCCTCAGTAAATTTCTAGTTTGCATTTTTCATTCTGGGGAACGTTTGCATTAAAAGCTCTCTAACAGACACGACTTAATCCTGCAATTAAATGCAAAATCGTGCTTGCAACAACAGTCTGTTCTTATGGGAAAGAAAGTGGATTTGTGACATTTATTGTGAGCTCACTGTATAAGTGAATAGGAAAGGGAACAAGGGAAAGTGAGCAAAATGTCTATTTATACAAGAAACATTTGATCCTAATTTAGAAAAAAATAGTAAGAGAAGTTACTTTATAAAATAACTTTATCCCCTTTGATCTGCCATTGAGTAAGTAGTACTCTGGGCTTCTCTATTACAACAGCATCACTGGGTTATGTGTCTTTCAGCTAAAATCAACAGGAGCTTTGTTTCTGTCTTCATAGAGAGCAAGATGAAGTGTTCCCACCAATTCCCTGACCTCCCCAAAATCTTGTACCCGTGAAAATTTAATAACAATGTTCAGAAATGAGCCCCTGATGACTGAACTTTACACAGAATTATGATTTGAAGAATCTACATGTCGTAAACTGTGCAGCTTTTTTTTTTTTTTTTTTTTAATGTAGTGTTTCAAATCTATTCAGGCAGCTGCCAACAGATGGTTGCTTTTGCACTGCTACTTTCGTTTCTACCACCTTTTTGCTGGTCTAGGCACCCTTCAGGTGGATTCTGAGATCTTCTTCTGTGAACAAAACTACTCCCATTAATCTTTAGGAAAACTGGACTCTCAGTCCAGAGCTGCAACAAGACAAGCAGACACTTTTAAAAACTTTACTAATTTTGAGCACCCTGAGCTTATAGATGAGGGCCAAATTTTTCACCATCACAGGAAATCAGCGAATTTGGCAAATCCGAGGAGTTTAGCCCCGTATCATTCTCCACCAACAAGCAACAGTGAGCACTCTGGGACAGGGTAGGGGTACAGATGGAGTCTTGATATGTTCTCAAAAGTTTATGTAAGCAACAATTCACAAACTTCCAGCTTTAAAGCTTGCATTCATTTAATCTTGTTTAATATTCTTACCCTACGTGAACTTTGAGTACTCCTTTTTTAGTTGCAGAACTCCTTCAAAATAACCACTGCCGGGGCTGACCAAGCATCTTTTAAGATAACATACTCCCACCTAGCGGCTCTCTTACAGTCAGGAAAACGCATCATCTCCAGCAAATAGAGACGTTCACTGTGGAACTCACATTAACAGAACAAGCCAGGTATTTACTAAGTCGGTGTAACTGCTTAGGTTTACAAATTATGATTTTGAATTCCTGTTTCACTGTGGTAACATCTAACCAGAAAGCAGGAAGGAACAGTTAAGCTGCGTAACACTGATTTTGTATATATACAGTTGACCACAATGTAGTTTAGCTTTTCACCGCAGTTTTGGTTGTGTCACTAGACTTCGTAGGAAAGACAATAGCTAGATACAGAAAAGCATTAAAAACCATTCTGTTAGGTGTAGTAATGAACACCATAAGAAACCTCAAAGAGAAATCATGGGATTCTGTGTGTGTACAAGACACAAATATATAAAAATACAGATGTATATGCATAAATGAAACACACAAAACTACAGGTAACATTGCTTCAGACTTTCCTAATTGTGTCTCTGAGCAAATCACTATATCCTTAAAGCCTCAGGACAAATATAAAGAAAATTACATTGAAGCATTGTAAATTGTTCAGCTATAATTGGCATTGAGAGTCCAGAGTTTCCTGATTTAAAAGCTAGTTAGCGGCTTACAGCAGCTGGATTACAAATTAAGAGGATGTGAGCCTGATACATTGATGCCTTTTAGGATTCTCCGAATAAGCAGGAATTCAAAGCCAAGTATGAACAACCTAAAAAAAAGAGTGGACTCTCTCCACTTTTCAAACTACTCAAAAGGTAATTTAGATATCTAAATCTAGGAAAAGTAAAATGAAATCTTTTTCTCTACTGTTGCACTCAATTTATTTCCAGAATTATTAAATATTCAAAAGATAATGTGATATAAAAGTATTTAGCCTCCCTGATAAACTTCCATTTAATATCTAGGTCAGATCAGTTATAACCAGACTTTACAGACTGATATCTGATTTTTCTGACTGGTTTGGTTCCAATGCTGAGACATGCTCTAAGACTTTCACAGAAACTAACACAAATTCAAGTATTTTTTGGCAATATTTGCAGAGAAATAAAAAACTGAGCAGTGACTCAGTGAAGACTGAAGATCTTTCCAAACCTCCCAGTGAGGACTGAGACACCAGTGGTGTGACAAAGGAAGCCTGCTCTGTAGTTCTTTGTGCTCCACATACTTGTGTAAAGAAAACTCTGGTTTCAAGGTTGTTAGGGCAGTAGCCATTTTCTCACCAATCCTCTTTAATTTCTACTGCAGAGAGGTGAGGAGGATATACCTCTGCTTCAGAATGCATTTAAAACATCTGCCTAAAAAGCAGACTGGAAAGCATTCTGTCATGGTGGAGCATCAAAAGACCTCAGAGCTGTAGGATTCTCAATCTTCCTTGGCCCTTCCCTCCTTCCTGTCCTTTCCTCACTTCTGTTTCCTGACATTCACCTCTTTGTCCACCAACCCTTGGTGGTGTTACTTTTTCCAGCAGTTTCCACCTGCTCCTTCCCTTTGGGAGTTAGCTGTATTGCCAGAAAACTGCCATTTTGCTCAGTGGTAAAAGGTATGGCTTTGTTGTGAAGGGTTTTCAGAGGGAGCAGAAAGCAATAGTTCTGGAGGTCATGGGGGAAAAAAACAAGAAAAGAGATCTTATACACTTTGTTAATGCACATTTTACATCATTTTGCACTTGGCAATATTGGCTTAAAATTGGTTTGATTCAATTTACATCAGTGCAATTGTTCCTATTCATACTCATTGAACTGAAGACAGAACATCCTTCAGGATACATTTTTTCATATTCATTGCATATCTGCATGTTAAAAACATGTGGCATGTGTCTCTCAAAGTGGTTTACAAAATAATGGAATTCTGTATGATGTTTTCTCTACAATTAATACTCTGTTCCCCCAAAATGCTTATTCCAGCAATATCAGATCTCGTAATTTTATAATTAAAAAATATTTCAGCTCTTTAAGGCAGAAAGCTGAATGAGAGCAAACTGCACCTCTCAAGAAAAAAGACCCTTCAGGCACTAGGAGGCTGGGATCCTCCTAACAAACAAGCACTGCAGTACTTGATAAAATGAAACCCAAAATAAAATGGATTGATTGACTGAAATGAAGTCTTTCCAGACAGCTTACTATAATTAGATTTACAATCATATTATGTCTAGAGACCTTTGTCTAAACTTCAAAGGATGTCTGCTTCCTTTTAAAGTATTTCTACTACCTACATATCAAACCTGTCAGAGTGCAGAGAAATACTACATGCCCTCTTTTCCTGCTCCAGGCCATAGTAAAATTTACACTGATAAAAAAAAAAAAAGCTAATGCTTCTACTAAAGTAAATTATAACTGCAGTAATAGCCCACTCCAGGAATATATATGCTGGGGCTTGCTAGCATTCCAATAAAACAGAAGTTAAACATCAAGGACTTCTATGTTACATCTACCTAAAATAACTTAGAAGGAAAAGCACTGTCTGGTGCAGTGCTATAAAATAAGACGCATAAGAAAAAGACCTCTTTCACATTTTCAAATCTAGCCAAAGGAATATGTGCCATAATTTTGGCAGGACTCTGCCCCCATTCCTCATCCATTAGATTTGTGAGAGTTTCAACTAGACATTAGTGAGGAAACTAACTCAGTGGTAATAGTTTAAAGCTTTAGGGCAAATAGTATATTATTCGCAGTTTAAAGTAATTTTCTAACCAGAACTGGTGCCAAGTGCTTTTTGGTAAATCATGCTGTAATTCTTGTAAAATAATCCTAAAATAAGTTTCTGTTTATCAGGTTTAAAGCTGAACAGCTATGTACTAAGGTACTGATTCAATAAAGCAATAAGAAACTAAATACCGCGATTCAGTAAAGCAATAAAAAATTAAATACCAAAACATTGTTTGGGGCCTGGTCTTCTTTCCTATCCTTTAGTAAAAGTTCATTAAAACAAGTGAGTTAAAGCTTTGAAGTGTGTAAAATCTCTTCTGAAGAGATGAAAATTATCTAATATACTGCTTGATTTAATAAAAAATATTGCATCACCCTGTAAATCTTGTCTTATTAGAAAAAAAGATACAAATATTCAGCTCAGACTTTATTATGGGTCACAGCAAAATCCAAGAAAAATACAGGATAGAAACAGTTGTTCTTAGTAAAACCTAATTATATTGAACAGTCAGACTGTCAGAGAAGAAAAGCAGCCAGCACCTGTGGGCAAGGGTGTACTGAGAACTCCAATACCCAATTACCACATGGGGGGCAGAGGAAGAAAAGGATCATTAATTTCTTCTAGAAAGGCAGGGGTCACCAAGCAAACCAAATGTGTTTGGTTCCTGTAGTTCCCATGTCTGTCTTTGATGCTTAATAAGAGGTAATAAACATTGAATACTTTTTGATTATTTTTATATTCTCTTTTATTCATGCTATAAAGTGAAAACCCTGCTTGCAAATCTGTATGTTTTCCTTGAGACTGTCTGCTGGAGCAACAGAGTCATTGTACTCCAGAAATGGCTGTACATGCAACATATCCACTAAGATGCCACTTACATGACATACAAAGAAAATGCTGAGAAGTTGTGGGTTTGGGTGGTTTTTTTTTTTTTTTTTTTAATGTAAAAGAGATTGCCTGCATTCTTTCAGTATTTCCCACCAGCAATACCAAGTGAGACACCTGGAGTTTTCTGCCAGGGAGTGAGCAGTCTCCAAGGTAACAGGGACACACAGCTGCAGTCAAAATGTCACAAACTTAATTTGATGTAATATACCCAAAATTAATTCCCGTGAAAGGCTTTGTGGCTGATTTGGACAGGGGTGTGTGGGGGGGGGTGGGAAGGTAGGTGGGAAGCAGACACCTGAATGAAAAGGTGGTGACATTTAATCTTGTTTTGATAACAGCAACTTGAAGTACTCGCTAACTAATCCCACACTCCTTATTAGCCCTGGTACGTTTGATGTGTGCTTACTCAAGTGAGCCCTAAGGAGTTGTGATGGGAGTTCAGGATCAGTGCCAGAACTGCAGGGCCTCTGATCCAACTTGCTTTGTAAGTGTCTGTAGTTGTTGTGAAGTTCATGGGGTTCATTTCCAAAAGACTGAAATATTAACTAAGCCAGCAGAGATTGAAAATAGACGTATCTTCTCCCAGGCAGCCAGTGATAGGACAAGAGTACATGGAATCACAGAATATGCTGAGCTGAAAGGGACCCATGAGGATCGAGTCCACCCCTCAGCTCTGCACAGGACCATCCCCAAGAATCACACCATGTGTCTGAGAGCATTGTCCAAACGCTTCTAGAACTGTCAGGCTTGATGCTGTGACCACTTCCCTGGCGGAGCCTGTTCCAGAGCCCAACCACCCTCTGGGTGAAGAACCTTTTCACAGCATCCCAACCTAAACCTCCCCTGACACAACTTCAGGCCATTCCCTAAACTGCAGCAGGGGAGGTTTACGTTGGACATGGGGAGGAATTTCTTCACGGAAAGGGGGATTAGACACTGAACTGGGCTGCCCAGGGAGGTGGTACAGTCGCTGTCCCAGGGAGTACTTAAGGGAAGACTGGATGTGGCACTCAGTGCCCTGGTCTGGTTGGCCATGGAGTGTTTGGTCCTAAGTTGGACTCGATGATCTGAGAGGTCTTTTCCAACATAACTGATTCCGTGATATTTCACTTAGATTTTACTCGTCAACACAGACCTGTGCAACACTAAACGCTCTCTAGAGCACCAGATGTGCTCAAGACAACATCCTAAAGGGCCCAAACACACCTTTTCATAGCAGACGTAAGCGAAAGGACGCAAAAAAAAAATTACCAGCCGAATTCTGAAAAAGCGAGCGGTGCCCTTTAGCAGCTGACACTCCCTTTGGAACGGAGGGAAAGATTAGGGATGGGGACCGGGATTGGGAGGGGTCAACAACGGGAGTGCTGACGGAGCGCCGCGTGCGCGCCCTCACGGCGGGCGGGGGGGGGGGGGGGGGGGGGGCAGCGCGCGCCACCCCAACGGCCGCAGAGGGTGCAGCGCACGCGCCAACCGAACCACCCTCGGCCCAACCGTCGCCGCTTTTTCAAAAGCGCCCGCGTGCCGGGCACGTTTCCCTCGCCGCGATTGGCCGGCGCCGCCCGTCGATCGCGCCTGTGCCCGCCCCCCGCGCCCGCCGATTGGCCGGGCGGGTCCGAGCGAGGGAAAGCTGTGGGTGCGGGCCGGGCGCGTGAGGCGCTGGGTGCGGGGTCTGTCACCGTCGCCGCCACCGCCCAGGCGAGCGGAGGGGACGCGGAGCGTCCTGCAGTGTGTCCTGCGGTGTGTCCGCCGTCCCGGGCAGCGCTGTGTGGTGTGCGGCTCCCGGCGGGACAGCGGGCGGTCATGCCGTGGCCTCGTCTCCCCGGGGATAGCGGTGGGTTCAGGTCCTTGCCGCGCCGTGGGGAGAGGCGGAGGCAGCGCGGTGAGGGACGAGGCGCAGTGGAGAAGGGGCCTCGACGTGCGAGGCGGCGGGAGGAGCGCTGGGGGATTCCGGGGATGTTGGGCTTGTCTCCCCTCGCTGCCCCACGTACTGCCGTGCCTCCTGGCGTGGCGTCGGTGCCCTCGGGCCTGCCCGAGGTCGGTTCGCCTGCTCCATGGGCCTGCTGTAGCTCCTCAGGGCCTCTTCGCACCAGCATGCGTCAGCTCCCTCCATTCCAGTCTGGTGTCCCCTCGCTGTTCGTGCAGAGAACGGCGTTTCTGCACACTTGTTTGAACTCCCCGAGACAAAGGGAAAATCAGTTTGCCTCTCTCTTGCTCCAACTCCGTTGTTATTTCCAGACCTTGTTAGGCCTGAAGCTGCCAAAAGATTTCCTAATTATGGAATCTCTGTGCAGGTGGTAGGCTGTGAAAAAAGCCTGATTCACTTGCTTAAATGAGATGGGACATCTTGTGGCAGGTAGTAGTCATGCTGTTACTGCTGTTTCCTGCTGGGGAGTTTTTTGTGCTCTTACCTGCTTCCTTTCTGGAATCTGATTTTGATGGAGCCAAGAGTTGTTCAGGGTTTGGCTTTTCTAACGTCTGGTGACAGATGTCATATAAACTTCTCCAGAGTGGTTGCTTGTATGGGTTCCTGCCCCAAAATGAATACCAGCTTTTTAGAAAAGACAAAGTAGATCTATTTCCACCAAAAGCCTTTTTTTTCTAGGGTGGGAAAAATCACAGTTCTCTTTATTCCCATTCTGATGAAGGGATTTCTGGAGTCTGTTATAATGTCATAAGAAGGCTGTTGAGGAAAGGATTCACTGAAGAACAGTTATTACTTTGATTCAAAGCACATTTGAAATGACAAAGCTGGGTGATGACAGAGGCCACTTCTGGACAGTAATACTGCATAACATGCATAAATATGGCAGGGTAACAGGCAGTTCATCACTTCATAAATCTGGTGTATAATATTTTAAAAACTTCAATTTTTGCAAAATCATTTTAATTTGAGATACTGGGGTCATTTTCAGTGGAACTTGTAAGTGGAAGATAAAAGCAGTAGCAACCATAGGTGTGGTTAATGTTTTGTCTATGGAGGCAAAAGCTTGCTTAGACTGACTAGCAGTCATCTGACACCCACCTAAGGGTGGGTGGGATAGCATTTTGTATATTAGCTACTAATATTTTACCGTTTTAATTGGCTTTATTTTTACTAGCTCTTGTTTCTGCTAGTGGTAGGGGGTTAAATAGCTATTAGGTAAAATAAATAATCTTTCTAGATAATTTCATTTGGATAATCGACCTCAGGGTATTAACTTGAAAGTTAATTTTTTTAGGGGCTTAACAAGTAAAGTTGGTAATTACCAAATGTTGTGGTTGTTTCCCATCACCTGAATGACAGAAACCTAAAGCTATTTTGTGAGATCTTGACATACCAGAGAAATAATGGATAGAGCAGCAGCGACCATATTGATAAACTTGTTTAGTTTTTGGAATTGTGAAAATGGATAAAGCCATGAAAATAGAGACCCCAGTGGTGGGATTATTTCAAACTCTTAGTTTTGCAAGAGAGTTCTGCCTAATTTTATTATCTATTGGTATTAATTAATTTACTTTTGTTCATTAATTCTTTATGTTAATAGGGCATGTGTTTCTTCAGTATTTTTGTACTAAAATACAGTTTTGAAATAATTGTTATTTTTATGGAATGTATTAATAAGAAAATGGATCTTGTCACTCCGAGTAGTTTATCTCTAATACAACTATGATAACATAGTTGATGGAAGAATTCATTCTTCTACTTAAGGGCAGCATTTAAAAGTAGCTATGACGCTTACATTGTGATACTTGTGAGAGTTGTAATATAGAATATATAGTTGCTGGTTAAAGTTCAAGATTGTCACAGCTACAGAACAATGTCTGAAAGCAAATACCTAAGATTATAGTGGCTGGATTTAGGATTGAAGCCTTATGCTAAACAAAGTAACAGTAAATAAAGCAGGTATAGCCTAAATTGTTTTTCTGTGCTTTGGTAGCTTCTGTGTGCATATAACAACTTAGCATTAGCTGAATTGGAATGTCTGCAATGTTCTGTTGAAGCTGTTGCAGATATGCACGAAGAAAATAAAACTGCGGCAAATGGATGTGGCAAAATCCGAAGTGGTGCTCAGAATGGGGCCGCTTTACTTGCCCTGATGGAGAAGACTGGATACAGCATGGTTCAACAAAATGGACAAAGAAAATTTGGTGGTCCTCCACCAGGTAAGCATTTCTTTATGAAATTTACTTTCTGTAACGAGAGCTGTACTAAATCGGACTGAAAATTTGTGTAGCCTCATGTTGCATATCTTGACAGTGACTAGTAGCAGAAGCTTAAGGAAACAGTGTAAGAAACACATGTGCAGGGTCCTGATACGCTTTACAGTTTAGAGCAGTTCAAGATCTCTTGAGCTAGACTATGTTGAATGTTTCCTTTTTGGTGGATTTAAGAAGTCACAGCTTTAAAAGCAGGTGAAGTGGGCAGGTAGCGGAACAAATGTGGAGCTGAAAATGCTGAACATGTTCCATATGACTGACAACACTCTTGAAAGTGTTTAGTGGCACAGAAGGGAAAAACAAGTTGGTGATGGAAGCATAACCTACTTTATTTCTTGTCTTACCCCTTACCACTTGCATTGGCCAAAGCATTTTTTTTGGAAATCTGTGCTCTGAGAGAGCACCAGTGAAGGTAATCTAACTCATTTTGTTTTCAGACTATGAAGCATTTCTTTTATTTTGAATAATTTTTGCAGCGTCTTTGTTGGCATAAGCAATGTACGGGAATTTTGCTATTGCCATCAATCCTGGTTATATGAAATAAAATACAGTAAGTCTTCTTTTTGAATCAGATTGTGCACTTAAACAGAAGGCAGAAAAGTTGTTTGTGCTGCTCTTTCAGTTCATTCTCACCTGTGGCCTGTGATCCTGTGTCTTTATAAGTCGTGCTCATAAGCATGAACTGTATTACTTATTGCTATGTGTAGTTTAAGACATGGCTGCATCAAAATTATTTCTCTCTGAAAGTTTTTACCTCCTAAGATTTTCAATGTACTTTTACTTAGCCTATATAAAGTAGCAAAAGGAAGCCTACTGAAACCATTTTGAAACTGGCACTGGGAAAAGAACTGCAGGGCAATGCTACCTGTTTCCTGAAGGTTCAGCCTGATTTTAAATTATTTATACATTTTTCACATTATAATTATGACTTTTAATTAGAACATTAGACAGTATTACGTGTATTTGTTTAGCGAAGCAACTTTTATTAGCCTGTTAAACTTTTCTGAAACTAGATGTGCTTAAGAAGGCATCTCTTCCATAAATCTGCTCATTGACATTACTTATATATCTCTCCTTAAAATCTTCATGTATTTTCATACTTGCTTAGGTTGGATATTGCCCTAAGTTACTATAAATGGTTCTAGGCCAGATGAGACTTGAATGTTTGAGGCGGCTTGTAAGAAACTACAATAACCTTGTAAATTAAGAGCTTTGCTGTGAATTTTGCCTGTTTAAGATGTGGTTTCTATAAGCTTGTGTTGCTGCCAAAGGGTAGTCTCAATGTCAACTCTGTTTTCATCAGATCTGCCTGAAAATTTTCCTAAAGAATTACAGGTTTTATTCCACCTGGCAGCAGCACACTTCTTGTTCAGTTTATGCTGCTTGTGGAAAATGTATCTGTGGAGTGTTAAAAAAAAAAAAAAAAAAAAAAAAAGACAAAAGTGATTTTTCATTGTTTTGTTTGGGTCCATTGCTTAGATGGCAGCAGACATAATGATGTCATTAGGTGTATAAATAATTAGAATTACATAGAAGTTTAAGATGGCATGGATCTCACTAACAGTGGGAGGATTATGACTGTAATGTTGATTGAAGTTTAATTACTTGAACTGTTGCAAAAATAGGAGTCCCGTTTTCTGTCATCCAGTGATGAATCAAGTACGCAGTCAGAGAAACACTCTGATCAACTACTTGAGGATTGCTTAGTGTACAGTTAGTGTACAGTTTATAGATAAAAAATTCTTCTGTGAGAAGGCAAAATTTTCCCAATTTTGTTAATTTTTCTTTTTCATGAGTAAATTACTGGCCTTTGACAATACTTAAGGAATAAGTGTTAATTACAAAATCATCAAAATATAATTTATTCAGAACTTCAAAGTAAGTTATTTAATTACCTTCTTGTTTTAACTTGCCATCAGCAATTATTTTTTCACCTTGCCTCCTTTTGCTTTGTAATTTCTTGCGAGTACTTACTGAGTTTTGTGTTTTTTGGTGTGGGTTTTGTTTTTTTGTTTTTTTGGTTTTTTTTTGCCATCTTTGTACCTCTTGCTTTTTTTCCTGTGGAGAACCTTTCCTGTCAAAAGCTTTAGAAAAAGCTGTTAGTTAGTATTTGACTTTGTCTGCCTTTGAACCTTCTAACTGATTTGTTTGTCTAACTTAAAAAAAAAAAAAAAGAAATCTAAACAAAATTTTTAAGATAATTTTTTTTTATTATTTTGGGAAAATGGAGTACTGTCATTTTACAGACCATGGCTCCATATTTTAAAATTCGCAAATGTGTTTTTACATTATCTGTTGAACATATCCTTTAGCATATATGACAGAGATACAAAAGCGTGTATGAATTGGCTTAAGGACAGAGGCTTGGATATTCTCATAGTTTTCAGATGTCAGCGTGAGACTGACTTTTCTGTGGATTTTTAAAATTATTTCCTTTTTTCTTACACTTCAGCATGTGAAAACTGTGGTCTGTTTTTAGAGGATAAGTCTTTTTGGCTATTGAGGAAAGGATGGCTCCATATCCTAACTTCTTTAAGGAATCCTATTTTATTGGATTTTATTGGTGGGAGCAAAATGTTTGGAGTTTTTGCATGATGTTAAGGAAGAAAAAAAGTGCTGTGCTTGGGATCCTTACCAAAATTTCTAAAAATATGGACAAGAAAGGCAGAGAAACTTTGTTCAACTTTAAAACGTTGTAGAAAATACAACTGAAGCTCTTTCTCAGTTATTTCTGTCAGTTTCATTAATAATAAAAACGATTGAAAGATAGACTCTTAGTAAACCTGTCAGTGTTTTAAATAATGCTGGGTTCACTGTGTTGTCACACGGACTCCATTGGGAAAAAAACCCAGAAGATGGAATTCAAAGAAATACACATTGTGGGCTTCTGGCGTTTTTTTATTTAAATATAATAAAAGTAAGAATTAATGGATTAAAATGTGCTAGTTTTCAGTTGAGTTTAAAAGTAAATAAATGACTCCCACCTTCAAATTGGGTATGGGGGAAGTGTACTTATCTGGCATTTATATTAAGATTGCTGTTGGACAATTTATTTTAAGGTTGGGAAGGTCCTCCACCGCCTCGTGGATGTGAAGTTTTTGTGGGTAAGATTCCTCGTGATATGTATGAAGATGAATTAGTTCCTGTTTTTGAGAGAGCTGGGAAGATCTATGAGCTCAGACTGATGATGGAATTCAGTGGTGAGAATCGAGGCTATGCTTTTGTGATGTACACCACTAAAGAGGAAGCCCAGCTAGCCATCAAGATTCTTAATAATTATGAAATTCGTCCAGGGAAGTTTATTGGTGTCTGCGTAAGCTTGGACAACTGCAGGCTATTTATTGGAGCAATTCCCAAAGATAAGAAGAAAGAAGAAATACTGAATGAAATGAAGAAAGTTACAGAAGGAGTGGTGGATGTCATTGTTTATCCAAATGCCACTGACAAAACTAAAAATCGTGGCTTTGCTTTTGTAGAATATGAATCCCACAGAGCAGCTGCCATGGCTAGAAGACGACTTATCCCAGGTAAAACTGTTTGGAACTCAACTGAGATTTTGTGGGGAGTATCTGTCTCCTGATTGTGGGGAGCGAAATGGTGGATCATCCCTGTTTTCCATTCTTTTGGGGTTTTCAGAATTAAGAAACTGCAGTAGTGCCTTTTGGCTAAGGAGGATTTTTTTTTTCTTACTGCGTGGGCAAGTCTTCTGTTAACTGCTGAAAGAGTGTTAGGAAGAAATGTTATTGAAGAATTACATAGTAAATGTATTATATATATGCAAACATATAATATGCAATATATAGTATGTAGTATATGCAATAGGTAATAATAAAATATAACAGTATAACACACAGAATTACATGTAGAATGCATATGTATATATAATTTTATATATATAAATATGCAAAGTAGTGGGAGAAATACCTCCAGATCACTGAATATAAAGCAAACTAGTTGTGTGATATGCAAAATGATGGGTTGACATGAGTAACAAAGTGGGTTTGCTTTGGATTTTTCTTTTCTTTTTTTTTTTTTTTTTAGTTTATGTTCTGGTATCTGCTGTAAGATCGCATCTGCCTGTGCTACTGATATGCATTTAGATTACTTTTTTAGGTGTTGACCATACTTTTTAAAGTGGTAATATTATTGAAGAGGCTGTGTTTACTAGCTAGTAAAATACACTACTTTTGGTCTCCTTATGTATGTGTGAATATGCATGTCACAAAGTCTTTGCTTTGACAGCTTATGGTGCTTAATGAGCCCAAAGGGTACAGATAGAACGCTTAGCATTTTTGAAGAGTCTCATTAACAATTCCAAGTTGCTTAAGCAGATGCAGGCAACAAAACCCAGTTTCATGTGGTGTGCATCATGTTTGCTTTTTGTAGAGGTAGTTGATAAGAATGATTGTGTTTTCCTTTACATGTTTCTTATTTACATAATGCTTCTTCGCTGTAGGGACGTTCCAGCCCTGGGGTCATACTATTCAAGTAGACTGGGCAGATCCTGAGAAAGTAGTTGATGAAGAAACTATGCAGAGAGTCAAAGTATTGTATGTAAGAAATTTAATGATATCTACTACAGAGGACAAAATTAAAGCTGAATTCAACAAGTTCAAGCCAGGAGTAGTTGAACGTGTGAAGAAGTTGAGAGACTATGCTTTTGTTCATTTTTTCCACCGGGAAGATGCAGTTGCTGCTATGTCTGTAATGAATGGAAAGTGCATTGATGGAGCCAGTATTGAGGTAACACTGGCAAAGCCAGTTAACAAAGAAAGTTCTTGGAAGCAACATTTTAATGGTCAGATAGGTCCCAGTTCTGAAAATCTCTTAGGGTTTCCCAACAAAGAAGATGGCACTCAAAAATCCGTGGCAAAACCAGCAAGTCTTTCAGTTCGTCTTAATGGCCAGCACAGTCCAGGCTCCCCTGAAGTTGAAAGAAGTACATACCCCTTTTTTCCAGGAATAAAGCTTACTCCAATTAGCATGTATTCTTTAAAGCTGAATCACTTCAGTTCTGCAGTAATGCATCTGGATTATTTTTGTCATAAAAATAGCTGGGCACCACCAGAGTACTGCTTGTATTCAACAACAAGTCAGGATGGGAAAATACTCTTGGTGTACAGGGTGCTTATTTCTAGTATTGCAGATGATTCCCAGAGTTATTTCATGCCAGAAAAACTCTGTACAACGGTAGAAGATGCAAAGGAATTGGCAGCACAGTTCACACTTTTACATCTAGGTAAGCATTAACAGTTTTGATTAGTTATGAAGAACTGAAGCTGTTACTTTGAAGTTGTTCTTATCTTGCCATGTGTGTATTTTCATGTAAAGCGTAAGCTAGTCTGCAGAAGCATTGGTTCTAGGATCAGTTGAGTCTGGACTATCAGATGAGAGCACTGAAGAAACACCGTGTAAAGATCTAAACAGTCCAGTGCCAGGGTCATTTTTGCTTACGTATATCTACTGTGATGATGTTTAAGGAAAAACTAGATAACATATAAGTGACTTGAGTCATCTGGGTGATAATTATGGTGCTGAAAATTTATTTGAAAGGCTGTGTTTTACCATCTTCGTTTGT